TTTTCAGTGTTGATGTCATGGTCATGAATTTCTTCAGGTGCTCTTTGTCATGGAAGTATCTTTTTCTCCTTCAATTTTGAAATATACTTTTGTGGGATATATCAGTGTGGGTTGGAATTTGTTTTCCTTTAGGGCTTTAAACACTTCATTACAAGCTCTCCTTGCCTTAAATTTTGTGATTTTGATGGGTTTTTCTTTGTAGATGATTTGTTCCTTTTTCTAATAACTTCTGTCCTTTGTTGGTTTCTGGTATTTTAATTATGATATGTTGTGATTTTTTTCCCTTGATTTTGGCTATTTGGGATTCCTATGTCTCACTTGTGTGAATGATAAATTCTTTTTCCATATCTGGAAAGTATTCTGCTACTATTTCTGTAAACACGCCCTTTGAGATGTCTTCTGATACTTGTGTAATTCCAATATTCTCACGTTAGTCTTCTCTGAGCAGTCTGACACGGCTCTCTGCTGGATCTGTTTTCTATCTTCTCTTGCTGTTTTTAAGGTATCTCTCAATGACCGGTCACTAGCCACAGTCCTGTGCTCTGGATGTGAGACTGTGTCCTGAGGCTGGTCGTGTCTGCTGCCCATACTTTCAGTTGTAATTTGAAGCTCTTGGATTTCTGTCGCAAGGTTTTTATGGGCAGTTTCTTCTTCATGTTGACTTTTGTGATTTGCATTTTTTTTCTTAGCTCTGTAGATTTTTGTTAGTGTCCTGTTTAGACTTGCTGTTCATTTTTTTCATTCAAATCATTATCTGTTCAGTTACATCTTCTTTGAATTTGCCAGATGCCTTGCTGAATTACTTTATTACCTGCACTGATATCCTGCTATCCTCCCAGCCTATTCAGTTATGTGGCTTGCGAGCTCCTTTACATTAGTGCACCCTAGAACAGCTCTGGGGGAGCGAGGGCTTCTTGGAGGTGTTTTCCTGCCTAGTCTTCTCATGTTTCTGTGTTTTCTGTGTTGGGGTGTGCTGGAGCCTGTGGTGAGGGCCGTGCTGTGGAGTGTGGGGGCCTGTGGTGGTGGCCGTGCTGTGGAGTGCTGGAGCCTGTGGTGGTGGCCGTGCTGTGGAGTGCAGGAGCCTGTGGTGGTGGCCGTGCTGTGGAGTGCAGGAGCCTGTGGTGG